TCAGACATTATACAACTCAGTCACTAAACAACTCACATTTTTTCCAATTCTTTAGTAAGTGAATGCAATAATGATCAGAATACATGAGGTGCTGTGTTGAGAAATAAATGATCTGTCTTGAGGGGTTTACAGCTTTCAAGTCAAAAGGATAGGGACATGCAAAAAATACACATGAAAACTCATCAGCTTACTTAAAAAAAACAAACACACAAAAAACCACCATTGCCACAACCATACACACACTTAGAGCTTGACTTCCACAGTAACATATAAATATAAATGCTCCTGTGCCTTACAAATGGTTTTAGAGAAACAAGTCTTGAACACACCAGATGAGAGGGGATTCCAAAAATAAGGAAGCAACACAGTAAAAAGCATATAGCCAGCATTGTTAGCAAGAGAGTCAAAGGGAATGCGAAGAGAGAGAGATCAGTGATATAGGAAGGAACAACATTGTCTTTTCACTGCCTCAGACTAATGTATAAAAAAATGCATTGGAGAAAGTCTGTTCCCTCAAAGTATAAACTATAACCTATTGTTAAATTGTATATTTACATACAACATGTCCATCCCCCACCCCATAAAAAGTGCTTCCTTAAGCCTCTTAAATATTCTTTTACCATATTTTTTTAAGAATAATTATTGCTGGTGTACTTGATATTCATTCTGATATACAAAATTCTGTTAAGAGCTTAATCTTGCTATTTAGAACTCCTCCCTGCCCACTCAACCAGGCTGCCCTTTACATTTCAGCATACCTACATTGTCTCTTAGTAATAATACTACTACAAATCACACTGAGTGTAAACTGGTCATCTGAATACTTAGTCATGCAGTTCTGAAGAGACAGTTTTATATGCTATTAGCATCTATGCTAGTACTGGCTACATGAAAAACGTTAAGGACAAAATTAACATTTACACATGGAGGTAAACTGACTGAAGCTTTTCAGATTTGAGTCCTTTAAAAAACAAAAACACAACTTGCCAACTGTGTGTGTCCGGTTACAGACTACTAATCCATGGAAGAACCAACATAAAAATTCAATACCAAAGGACAAGGATGTTTTAAAATATGCACAGAGCAGTGAGATGGTATAAAGTGACCAATATGAAAACTGTGTAAAATCCACCAAATCCAGCTTCCCAACAACTGGTAACTTAGAGAGGATGCCACTGATACACAGAAAGAGGTCACTAAGTCACCTGTTTCCAAGAAATTATTACAAACTGGATACAAGCCTTCATCTTCAGTTCCCATCTTCCTTGGGCATTTTGGAAAGCCTGTCAAATAACTCCCTCAATGCAGGAAGCATCCACTGACCAAAAGGTGGATCATATGTTGAGCCCTGAACAATATCTTTCTTTCACCAAAAGGTTATTCACTTTTTCCCCTTCAACTGTTTCAGTTTCTGTTTGGATTTGTACAATCAACATTTCAAATGCTCCAGTTTACAGTCACCTTCCACAGTAGACCAGACCAGAATTTCAGAAGTAAAAAGCAAGCAGAAGCGACCACTCACACCTTTCAGAACCTCTCCATACATCATTTAGAGCCCAAGGTATATGAACCCTGTTCTTTTTTCTTTTTTTGCAGATCATTAAGTTCCCACATGCCCTTTCCCCTTACCTCTTTGAAAATGGAACCTCTGAAGTTACAGTGATTTTACTCTTACTTCTCTCAATGGTCACTGCACCTCCACCAAGATTCCCAGCTTTCCCATTCACTTTGATTCGTTCTTGCAAGAACTGTTCCTGCAAAAAGTGGAACAGATGGGTTAGAGCTTTGACAGGTGAAATATCTCCACTGACTTCTCAGCAGTCAGAGATTGAGGAAGGTCCACTACACCACCCAATTTATTTTAACCAAATAAACCACATAAGTTTTAAAGCATCTTAGCCAGAAAACTTGAAAAGCAAATAAATGCTTTGCTCATCCTAAAGACCAAGGCATGGATCCTGCAAAGATTTACACTATTTAGTTCTATTTCAGCCAGTCAGACTACTCAGGTGAAGGAAGATAAGCAGAAGAACAAATCACTACAGAATTAAAATGATCATAAACTATATCCACCTGGCCCTCAGATGCATATACATATGTACCAGCAGTTGCAGGCATTCATCCTTCCATCTGGAGGAAAAAAAACTCTAGAGAGAAAAAGAATGGGGGAGGGAGCTGAGTTCCTACGCAGGCAATAGTCTTCATCTTTTCACAAGCCTGTATGAAACCAGCACAAAAGTGCTAAATGCTTGGAAAAATACTCTCTGGGAGACTATAGTAAGACTGGAGTGTTATGATCACACCTGAAGCACACTTTGTGCCCAGAAGTTTGTCTAACATCTCTGCCAACTATAGTTAGTTCAGTAAAAATATAACAAAAACTTATTACCAGGAGCCTGTAATCCTAACACTGTCCTGGATGTTAAGTTTTGGATTTATAATCCTAAATGCTACGGTTTAGGCATCATAAAGTTTTTGCATGACTTATTCTATAGTAAGTCCTGCAAAATATCACAAACTGACGGCTTCACAGAGAGTAGTAAAACAGCAAGAAAATCAGTATACTGATTTATGAACCAAGAAATATTTCACCATCATTTCAAAGTTTTGAAAAAATGACTAATTCTATTTGTTATTGCATTCATATGATCAGATCACCTAACTGAACGTTCAAACCACAGATTGAATAACAAGTTTATAGACAGTAGGTATACTCTGGGTGTTATCCAACAAAAGGTCTTATTTCTCCCTCACTGCCTCCATCATCTCATAGCCAAGTTATAAATTAAATCCAAAACAAATCTGAAAAAGTTTTTATTTAAAGTTTTAAATTAGATTACTAAAACAATGTGAAGTTTGCTGTTAATTAAAAAATACCTACACACTCAACAGCTGCTTTAAAAATTTTTTTTTTTAATTTCTAAAGATTAAGGATTACCTTAAAAAATCTGGTAAAACAAAGACCACTCAGTTCAGCAGCAGCCTTACAACATTGGAAGCTGCCTCCCCCTTCAATAAAAAATGCAAAAAAGGAAAGTACAGCTTTCAACATTTCTCACGAAGAAAAAAAGACGAGAAGTCATAAACAAAACTAAGTAAGAAATATAGCATTCAACTTTTTCCAATAAAAATCATAAGCAACAGTATAAGACATATTGTGTTCAAAGTTACAGTGAAAAGGAAAAATTATGCACAATCCTAGAAGAAATACATCGTTTCCCCACAGTGGTGGGGGAGAAACAACCTCTTCAGCGTAGCAAGTACAAACAGAATATATGATTAAAACCAATGCTTTAAATCAATGTTTCCTACTTGCCAATCTCAATCCAGGCCAGCAGAGATACCTTAACTTCCCACATGACTCAGTTAAAAAGTCAAATTTAAACGAGGGCTTAGCCTGCACATTCTAGCAAAGCTCGACCTAAACTAGACTTTTCTAGTGCTGATGCTAGATTACTCAATCAGGTGGAAAACTTGCACTGAGAACAGCAGACAATAGCTGGAAATAGCTAAAGCCAAGCAGGCCAGCAAGGCGTATGCATACCTTTGGGGGACAGAGAGCATTCTGGTAAGCAGTACATGGGAAAGAAGAGACTAACTCATTTTTTCTACTAGAGATACGTTTTCACGAATGTTTTGAAGAGCTGCCTGAGGACTCCTGGGCAGTAACTGCCACTAGCAGATGCATGTAGCGCCCGGAAGCAGGGAGCGGTGGCCCAGAACGTTTACAACTCACAAAGTTAGCAGCATCCATGATTCCATCTTCAACAGGATGGGTGCAGTCCAGAGTAAACTTCAGGACTTGCTTCTTTTTTTTGCCACCTTTCGTCACTAGTTTCTTCTGCAGAGTAAAAAAGAAAGGAGATTATTGCAGGCGCCCACCAAGCTCTGCTGAAAACAAGTGCTCGGGCCAGGGGGTAAGCACCAGGGTTACCAAGCAAGTAAAAGATGAAAACGTTTCTTTTGTAAATCATAATTTGTTAAGCATTTGCAACAT